ACGTAGTGCTTTTATTTTGAAAGAGACTGTATCAAACTGTACATTTCCTGTGAAAACAGAAGTGTATTTTGAAAACAGACAATGCATGTAACAGGCTGAAGTTGACACGGCGTCCCAGAACGTCAACAACCAACACACCCAGGGTACCTTGGACGTCATATGTGGACGTGGGAAGTCCATGTGACGAGGTCACAGTGAGGATGATGGACGTACAGACAGAGGACTGAAAATCTGAACAACAGTGACATTAATCAACATCAACAGGAAGTGACCTCAGACGTCGTGTTTGTTTTACCCTCTGATCTCCAGTGACGCCTCAGCAACGACCCGAACCTCCACTGTGACCTCGTTACTGTTGGGATTCACTGAGTTCTTACTGAGGGACAGACAGACAGACAGACAGATGTGTAAATCATAGTGTTGTAAAGTGATTTAAATACAGACAGTTTGTACAGACAGACGGACAGACAGACAGACAGACAGACAGTTTGGACAGATAGACAGTTTGTACAGACAGACAGACAGACAGACAGACAGTTTGGACAGACAGACAGTTTGTACAGACAGACAGACAGTTTGTACAGACAGACAGACAGACAGACAGTTTGTACAGACAGACAGACAGTTTGTACAGACAGACAGACAGACAGACAGTTTGTACAGACAGACAGACAGGTTGTACCTTCTGATCCTGAGGTTGAAGGTGATGTGATGCTCCACCTCCTCCAGACAGCCCACACTGAACAGAAGACGTGTCTGCAGCTACACACAGAAAGAGTACAGAGGTATCAGCATGTACTCAGAGTACTGATAGTAACTGTACTCAGAGTATTGACAGTAACTGTACTCAGACTACTGACAGTAACTGTACTCTGCAGAGTAATCTGTCTGATATCAGATTAATGCAGAGCAGTAAAGAGTTTCCTCTGACACAGACAGTAGAGTAACATATCTGAAGTGTCTGTGACCTGACAGGAAACTGTGTGTGTGTGTGTGTGTGTGTGTGTGTGTGTTACAGTGTGTCCTTGTCTCATGGGGTTTCCGAGGTCACAGGTCACGATGACGGTCTGATTCTGTTTCCTCTGAACACACACCAGTCTGTTCTCACCCTGCAACACACAACACCCACCGAACATCATCATCCTCAGTCTGTTTGTGTCAGTGTGTATCTGTGTGTGTATTACTGTGTGTATCTGTGTGTGTATTACTGTGTGTATCTGTGTGAGTATTACTGTGTGTATCTGTGTGTGTATTACTGTGTGTGTCACCTGACTGCTCTGGAAGTGTGTGTGTTCAGGGATTAGGA